TTACTGGAAGCCTTGTCGGAAATTTTCGAGGTACATCTGCAACACACTTTTCGTGTCCGAGAGTTTCTCGTTCTCGTATTCCGTTCCACTACCGGCATTGGCGAGCTGCTCGACCGTTTCCAGAGCCGTATAGACGTCCTTCAGGTAGTTCCAGGTGGGTTTTCACGTGCTAATGGTGCTAAAGATTCAATAATTTATTCGGGATCGGGACACAGGGAATGATTTTAATAACAAACCACCGACAGACGGACATGAATGACCATAGCAAAAACAACAAAATTTCTGACCAAAGCACACTACTGACATCTAGCTCCGTGTTCGTGGGCAATATTTAGCTAAACCATGAGCCCGCATTCAAAATGTTCTGAATTGGTCCGTGTCTGATCTATTCTGGACAAATTATTTTTATCTAGATCAAACAATCCTATGGTTATGACAGATCGGATCACTGCACATTTAAATCGGCCGTTTACGATTTTCGGGCATTAGTAAGAATTAAGTGTCATGTCGGTTTGTCGGTGCCTTTGCTATCTAATTCGTTCGGAGCATTAACCTTTGAGCAGCAGATGACGCGATTGTGCCTGTCTCATACCATACGTATGGAAAAATGGGAGAGTTGCCACATAGAGGTCTAAGACTAGAAGGTCCCGAAATAACGTGCTCAACTTTTTGGCTCAGCTCTGGTACTCTCTTCGGTACTAAGCTAATCGATTCACCCCTCGAAACATAGGAAAAACCAATAACCCCTCATTTTATCTGTCAAACTTTCATAGCAAATCAAAACAAACATTGCGTAGTACTAGAATTTCAACTAGAATGGGGTACGTTAATCGTTTGCTTGGGACCAATAGGCTAGTCAAGTAGTGAGCCAATTTAAAATCGTTAGTTTCGTATTGATTGTTGGTTGCCAGTCTTCTTTATATGTTGTCTTCGGTAATATACATTTAGGAAATACCGTTTCCCGTGAATCTCAAGGAAATGTATTAAAAATAATACCTCTCCTCTATAAATACTCAGAGGGAGAGATAGGCGGAGAAAACAAAATACAATTCGGCAGCAGGGATTTGTACCCTTGCTAGAAGCCAGCATATCACATGACTTTTATTTTTGATTCGATTTACGTGCAAAGTAATAATTGATTGCGTCGCAATATTTTGCTCATTTCTAGGTGCTATTAGTTAACCAACTAAGATCAATTAATTAATAGAGTTAGAATATTTCTTTTTGATTCCAAAAACTAGTTGAATTTGAGAAGCACATGAAACATAAAGGTGATTGAATTTCTGATCGATTGCAATGCTCTCAAATTTAATCTAGTGAGAATAAGAAATCCTCGGACAAATTCTAATGGGAATGTTCGATTGGGTCAGATTTTGACAGTTCATTTGGCTCAAAACATTATCTCCGCCTATCACTCCCTATGAGTATTTCTACTTTCCTCTTAGTTTTGATGGATTGATGCGTTTGTTCACTTTGAATCGCAGCTCACTCACGACTCCGGTTAATGGTGTGAAGGCGGTGGCATTAAGAAGCCGATATTTAAAATTTAAAGAACACACCCTTTGCCAAGAACTTAAAGCGTCCCGTCATAAAGCACACCAAATACTGATTCGTGTTCCATACCAGGCCGGATTTTTTTTTTTTTTTTTTTCCGTCGATCTTGTTTTCCGTGCTGAGCACCAATGCTACCGACGTGCCAGGAAGGCAGCTCCCACACCTGGACCCTACCTATCGACCCATCAACTCATGAACCGGGGACCAACGGCTTTACTTCCCATCCGAAGGAAGGCGTGATCAGAGATGTTATGCCTCAGAACATCCCGGCGGCGCCGACTGGGATTGAACCCAGGCCTGCTGGGGTGAGAGGTAATCACGCTTACCACTACACCACTGGCGCCGTTACCAGGCCGGATCATTTCGGATATAATATATAGGGAAAATGTAGGTAATTTCGGCCTACATGTCCCTAATTTGGGCCCATACATAAATTCAGCAATCGACTAAATTTTCAATAGCGACCAAAAATATACAAAGGTACCGTCCCAATGACGCGTTCAACTAGATAAAATTGATAAATAGCAGACTTTTAGCGATGGGCCCAATCTTAGATCCATAGGCCAACATTAGAGCCATTTCCTCTATATTATAATAGATATTATCTTTTCCTGATTTTTTAACTTTATTGCCCTACCGTTGTTTTGAGCACGCTTATAAGAGTAATTCATGCTGAAAAGAAATACACATATGTTATTTAGTATAGTAGAATCATTATGCTGACAGCTTATTGTACATAGTATCCCGCATAATCAAAAACTATTTATGAAGTGGTTCATACTATAGAAATGATTTAAGTCGTGCCGTTACTTCTTGAGTTATCATTCATTTATACTTTTACTGTACGCTCTTATCGGTAACGTATGGTAAAACATTTTATGTTGTCAATACTACATATTCTTAAAATATGGTATACCATCCAACGATAAGTATTTATTTTCCCTTTGAGAAAACCCTCATTCAAAAAATGCTATAATATTCTAACTGAACTGTCACAGGCATGGTTATGATACGCTATAATCCAAATACTATCATTAATCATCCTCCATTAATCACAATAGATCGAAATTACACGCACACTGGGATCTACTGAATCCTAATATGATGATAAAATGATAAGTGGAATAATTTATTGTAGTGGATAAAGGAAAATCAACCAAGCGTCACGACATTTATGTACTTGTATTAGTGAACAAGTTTACCCTATTTTAGTTTTGCTCCAGTTGCTTCACGCCATGTTGATTTGAAAATCTAGAGTGTAAAACAAAAGTGTTTTACTTAATTAAATTATGTACAAATTGTTGTCTTCAATAAATTATGTTGTCTTCAGTATGAAGTGACTCCCGGGAAGATCAACCAAGGCTGGTGAATAAATGTACAAGGTAAAAAGCTATTCTATCATAAGCTTACATTTTTCTTACGCAAAATTGATCCTTTGCAGTTACTGTGAATTTCTTTACCGGAAGACCTCATCGGTGGCAGCTACTGCTGCTGGATGGCAACCGTGAGATATTCGGCACCCGTTTGGCGCTGTTCGGCGACTTCTTGGGACCTTACTCGTTTTTTTTTTGTGGTGGCCGTTTCAAGTTGAGTAAATAGTACTGAAAGTGCTTGCAGCTGATTGACGAGTGGCATGATGTGGTGGATTACGCAGTTGCGGCCGTGACCCGGTAATACCGGTGTGAAACCACTAGCGATGGTCCGTTAAGATCGGCACGGACCGAGTATACTTATGTTATGTTATGTTTTATACATCGTGTTCTGTGCACAATAGTGCCATTTGATATGTTATATGAAAATGAATTGCTATTGGTTGTTACGTTTAATGTAAAGCGGTAGTTTTTTTTTTACTTTTGTTTTGTTTTATTGAAGGTGGATTTTTCTTAAGAATAAATTAGTTTTTACACAAAACTGAATCGTTAGCCTAAGGCTGAATTCGATCTCACATTTACTGTCAACATGGTACCACTATACTAGCAGTTCACTTAAATAATGGTATCATGCTGTCAGTAGTTGTAAGATTAAGGTCAGTCATAATCCCTGATCCAAGAAAAAGGAATAAATACGAACTATATGGAATATAGTAAGTGCTTATCGAATTTAATCGTTTGAATATAACACGAAAATACACCATAATGTTAACTTACCTAAATGAACTATTAACACAGTATAACGTTTACTTTCCTTTTTAAAACCAAATTTAATAATCCAAATATTCCAGAATGTTATGACATATAGTTTTATGATTTTAAAATTGATTATACAAGAGCTATATGTCTTGTATTACACCTGAAATTTTGTTCTGAAATATCAACCTTATTGAATGGTAATTATACTTAACCGCCTTTATCCCATATAGTTGTTTTGCATAATACAATATATGGTATCCTAAGGACAATTTATGGTATTGTATGCTTATCATTTTTATACACGCTGACTAGAATCGTACATATATACTTATTTATGGTACATAATGATACTGTGAATCATCCCTTTATTGTTTACGATTATGCGGGATATCAGTGGCTGCCACTGCAACTGCCATGTACCCATTAATGGGTAAAAAAGGACCCATTTTTGATGACTATATGAGGCTGTCAAATAATGGGTGAAGTTCAATTTCAAATAATGGGTACTCTTTTACCCATTTCTCAGAGCGCTTCGGGCGAGAATAATGAGTACTTTTTTACTCATTAATGGGTGAAAAGCAACTTAGATAACATCTTCCAGTCCTCGCTTCAGTCGCAAAGTGTCTTAACGATGTCGAATGGAAATTGCTCGTTTGAAAAGTAGGTATTTCTTATTTTATTTCTTTCTGCCCACATCTAAACATCAATCTGAAACTTGCAGGGACAGAACTAGCCGGATCAGCAAGGAGATCCCAGGAGAGCTTTGGGAGCACCATTTCTTGCACGAACGATGGAAAGACCACTGGATGGAAAATGGTGAAATAAAGATATAAATATAAATAACGTTTTGTATTCTTAACTATTCATTGTGGCTCTTTCAATGATCCATAAATCATACAAATTCTAAAAGAAAAATCCTGGTTTAAGGATTTCAAAATTGGGTACTTTGTACCCATTTTATAAAGCCAATTATTATTTAAAAATGGGTAAAAAAGTACCCCATGATTTGACGTACAAGGTCTTTACCCATTAATGGGTAAAGACGTTTTACCCATTAAATGAGTTTACCTACTTTACTTCGAAATGGGCACTTTTTCACCCATTAATGGGTACTTTCCAGTTACAGTGTGGGGCACTTACAAGTTAACGGTACAAAACGTTTTCTTCGGACCCGTTCACAACTCCTGGGTGGTGATAGTTTGTAGGTGGCATTTTCGACCCGAATCCCTCCGTTACCGCATCGCGAAGGAGAAAAGCAAAACAAATACGTAATAAAAGCTTTGATTGTTCTGATTGACAGCTTTGGATTTCGCCACACCAACGCGCGTGTGATTACTGCCTCGCAACACGTTTTTCTTGTGTTTTTGTGGACAATAACCGCGCATTTTGCGAGCAAAACTGCATAAAACAGTAGAGAAAGGCTGTATTTTGAGATTTTTCCTGAAACAATTCGTATCAGTACCGATAAAATGACCAGTAAGAAGGTAAAAGTGCAATCGCATGGAGACGACGCGCAGCAGATGGATGCGAAAAGTGACAGCGGAGATGACTCCAGCGGCGACGAGAATCCGGACATCTACAAGGGCGATGAGGTAGGTTTTAGTTTAGAATTTAAAAAAATGTTTTAAAATGTTATTTGTGCGCATTTTTAGGGAATCACAGTCGATTTCGAGGGTCGCAATCCGATCGATTCTGACATGGACGGCATCAAACAGATGCTGGGACAGCTTTTTGTCAAGGCACATGTCGATTTGAATGAGCTTTCCGGGATGATCATTGGTAAGGAAGGGTGTGGGAACTTTCTCCTGCGAAGGGTGAAAGGACTTTCACCCCTTGCTTGCGAGCGTAACATTTGCAAAGGGAACGCAAAATTTAAAAGGGGTGAAGATGTAGTATTTCAGTTAAGGGAATGTTTTTAATTTTAGGGCAAAACTACGTGGGAAGCGTTCTGAAACAGGCGTACACCGATGACGATGATGAAGATGAGGACGAGGACATGGAGGATCCCTGCCAAATTGTATTTGGAGTAACAACGGCCATCAATCTCACCAACAAGCAAGATCAGAATTGTGTAAAGCAGTTGCAGAAGATGCTGTTTGAGAAGGCGGAAAAGTACGCCACAGATTCCGTGCTGAAGTTGTTCCGCGATGCCCTGCAATCTGGCTCGAAAAGCACAGCTCTGTTGCTAAACGAACGCTTCGTAAACATTCCTGCTGCGGTTTGTGTACCAATGCTTGAGAATCTAATGGTGGAGATTGATCGTGCCAAGGCGAAGGGAATGCCGTACAAGTTCGATTATTTCATAATGTTCGTAAAGTACTACCAGAAGGCTGCCGCTGGGTCGAAAGCAGCGGAAGTCTTGTACTCCAATGACGAGGAAGAGTATTTCATCAAGGATTGTCTGGCGAGCTTCGATTACTCGGTACAAAAGGAAACCACCACCGCACTGGCGGGAAATTGGCTGGAGGAAGACGAAGAGCTGCAACCGCTCAGGAAAGTTTTGCTCATCGAGGCCAACAAGCTGCCGGATATTGTCGGCACAATAAAGAGTCTGATCGCTGCAGCGGTCAACAATTAAATATTATTAAAGCGAATAAAGAGGATTTCAGGAAAATGAACTTGGACTTGGAGATGTTATTTGCGCTTCAGTCGCCGACAAACTTCAGTTTCCTCTTCCAAGAGAGGGTTTGTGTCTCGACTGGTTTGTTAGTTTTTATCGTATTGTCATGTCATATGAATAATTATTGTCTGTGTTGGTGTCGTTCATCAAAACAACATTCTCGAAAAAGTGCATAAATCCCTATACGCGCTAGTGACAAACAACAGTGAGCAGAAGTAGTGTGTGTGTCCCCGTAGAAGTGCGTGTTTACGTTTACATTTTACTACGCGAAAATATTTTGCCAGTGCCAGTGGAAGAAACTGTCAAGTCAGCCCGGAACAAAAGACCGAGCAGACGGCGACGGAGGTTTGTTGTGTTGTAATTTTTTTCTTTGACGGGAGATTCGAGTATAATTCGTCGTAGGACTGGCCACCGCGCGAGTCACTGCAGGCAGAGCGTGTATAATTTTCCTTGGAAGAGTTTAAAACAAAGCCCACTCCGAAAAGTGCTGATCCGGACGAAAAAGAGACACCCATCCATCGTCAGCAAGGTAAATTTGGTTTGTACAATAATTATTGTTTTCAGTCTGGTACAATTTAGCAATGGGAGGTGTTGATTTAGTGGTCAGGGTCTCGTGTGGACAAAGGGAATCGTCATTGTAAAGTAAATATGCGAATAAATTGTACCATTTTTGGCTGATGAATAATGGCATAACATAACCTCACTCAGGCTTCTTATCAGCCGGGTGCTGGTGTGCGTGTCATCCGCGATTGGCTGCGGGCGATGAACTTGGATACCTATGTGTTTTTAAACGAGAACGCCGGTTTGTTTGGATTGAAGGTGATAAGGAAACAAGTTTCTTACACGGTAATCGAAAAAAAAAACTCTTATGACTTAAGTGCGCATTTTTGAAAGGAAAAGACTAAAATTTTACACATTTATGAGTAATTGCTAGTACAAAAATTAATAAAATTCATGCATTTATGAGTAACAGATATTCATAAAGGTGTAAAAAATACACACCATGAAAAATTTCTCGAAAATGTGGGAAATCTATAGAGTTTTCACTCAGTCTATCAGTATACTCCTAGACTGTTTCATGGATTTTCCACATATTCGAGAAGTTTTCCTGGCAAATACCCGGAAACTTCAACTCACTTATGAGTAAATCCACTTTTGACAAAATTGAGTCGACTCGACTCAATTTTGAGTCAGTCTGATCGTCCGTGTACTTTTCATAATCAGTCAATGAGAGCGACCCAAATTTGAGTTTAGTTTACTCATAATAGCCAAAAGTGCAGGAATTCAGCGATGAGTAAATTTGCCTCATGGTTGAGATGAACCACCTATTATCAGATACTCAATTTGGCAAGGGAATGTACGACCGTCTCGCGTTGCTTTCCACTGAAATTCAGTTGGCTTTTTGCTAAAAAAAGAGCAAATGGCTTCTGTGTTCTTGGATATTAAAGGGGCTTTTGATTCAGTATCGGTTGAAGCCCTTTCAGACAAACTCCACGCTTGTGGCCTTTCTCCATTAATTAATAACTTTTTGTACAATTTGCTGTCAGAGAAACATATGTGGTTTTCTCATGGAAACTCTACAGCTTCTCGATTTAGTTATATGGGTCTCCCGCAGGGCTCATGTTTAAGCCCCCTTTTGTATAATTTCTACGTCAGAGAAATTGACAATTGTCTAAGTGACAATTGCACGTTGAGACAGCTTGCAGATGACGGCGTAGTGTCTATGACAGGGCCAAAAGGGGTCGACCTGCAAGGACCCTAGACAATTTGTCTACTTGGGCTATCCAGCTAGGTATCGAATTCTCCACGGAGAAAACTGAGTTGGTCGTTCTTTCTAGGAAGCATAGCCCAGCACAACCGAAGCTTCAACTTTTGGGTAAGCCGATCACTCATTCCTTGTCTTTCAAATATCTCAGGGTCTGGTTCGATTCCAAATGCACCTGGACACCCCACATTGAGTATCTGAGACGAAAATTCCAACTAAGGATCAATTTCCTTCGATCAATTACCGGAACGTGGTGGGGAGCCCATCCTCAAGATCTTCTGACAACGATTTTATCGGTTCTAGAATATGGTAGTTTTTGTTTCCAGTCGGCAGCTAAAACGCACATCATCAAGCTGGAACGGATCCAGTATCGTTGTCTTCGTATCGCGATAGGATGCATGCTCTCAACTCATACTATGAGTCTCGATGTGCTGGCGGGCATGTTGCCACTATCCGTCCGTTTTTCAGAGTTATCTCTAAGGCTCCTCACCCGTTGCGAAGTAATGGACCCACTGGTGGTCGAAAACTTTGAGAAGCTTCTGGAGCTAAATCCTCAAACATGTTTAATGACTTTGTACTACCTATATTTAACACAGGATGTCAGTCCTTCAAGAAATATTCCCAATCGTGTAGTCTTCTCCGATTTCGGTAATACAGTGACTTTTGATTTATCTATGACGCAGTAAATCCGCGGAATTCCAGAGCATCATCGTCCTATGATTGCTCCGTCATTATACTCTGCAAAGTTTGGCCATGTTGATTCTGCAAGAACGTTTTTCACAGATGGATCTCTAATAGAGGAGTCCGTTGGTTTTGGTGTATTTAATGAATAAGCGCCTCTCGAAAATTTGAAGCTCCTTGTTCTATATTTGTGGCTGAACTTGCAGCAATTCACTACACTTTGGAAACTATTGCTTCACTTCTTACAGACCACTACTTTATTTTTACGGATAGTCTCAGTTCTGTCGAGGCTATCCGTTCCATTAGGCCGGTAAAGCACTTATCGTATTTTCTCTTTAAAATACGAGAGCTGCCTAGTGCTTAGTGCTTAGCGCACGGATACTCTTTCATCATCACCTTCGCGTGGGTCCCTTCGCATTGCTCAATTTTGGGCAATGAGAAAATCCGCCTTCATACGTCTCGTCTCATATCCAATCACTATTGTCTAAACGCTCACTTGTTCCGTGTGGGGTTGGGAGACAGCAATCTCTGTGAATGTGGACAAGGTTACCAGGACGCTGATCGCATCCTTTGGTCTTGTGCGGAGTATCGTGGAGTCAGATAACATTTTTATGATTCCTTCGGGCTCGAGGTAGACCACCTAATGTTCCAGTTCGGAATATTTTGGCTAGACGCGATCTGGAGTTTATGAAACTCATATATGTTTACTTTAAGAATATTAACCTTATTATTATTAACCTTGAATACTAGATTTGATGTTCATGCCACTTGTTTCGCGGATCACACACCCTTTATTGTATCTAGATTTACTAAATTCCGCACACTGCCGCAGAAATGCAACTGTGTCAGACTCAACCACGAGTATAAGCGGTTAAATCGTCTCTGTTTACAAAGCTATCAAAGGAGGATTCAACGGCAGCTAAAATCACACCCGAAATCCTTCTGGAACCTCGTAATTGAGCAACGCAGGGAAGTCGGCTTACCCTCTTTCATGATTTTTAATGGTGAAACTGCTGACAATCAACAAGACATTTGCCACTTAGGAGCTATTAGCCTTCTCGACAACTACAGCCCAGCAAACGTTTTCTCAAATTAACCATGTAGTTAACAGAAATGATCGTAGTTTGGACCTCTGCTTCGTGAGCACACAGGACAGGGCCCCATTAATTTCCTCGGATCCTTGTGCACTAACTAAGCTAGTTCCACATCGCCCCCCTCTAATTGTCACTGTTGAGGACAAACTCGTGCGTGATTTCGACGATTATCCTGCTACGGTTTCTTATGACTTCCGTAAAGCTGGCCACTGTAGCATCATAGATGTATTGTCTAGCATGGTATGGGAGAACATCCTTGATCCAGATGACGTTGAGACTGCAGCGCAAACATTTTCACCTGTTTTGGCATATGTCATTGTGTAACTCTACTGTCTGTATCCCGGTAAAAACGCTCAGTAGCAAGAAACCTCTCGAGCTGTGTCTCGAGGTCGGCTTACTACTGGGTAATCTGGAGGGGCTTCGCGATCCTAATGTACAGTACTGTCACCTGACTAAAAGCTATGGAAAGTTTAAGTGACACATTAATTAATAAAAGCTATAGCAGGTGTGGATTGGATTTCTAATAGTTGTTCTATTGAATTTTATGGGTGTACAGTGGGTTTTTACTATGGGGGTTTGACGTACCGGTACTGAACTGCTGCCGTTGATTCTGCTCCGCCAAAGACTACTCTGCCGATGTGCGACCGCTCGCCGATGATCTTACGTACGACGATGTCGAGCGAATCAAGCCTCACAGGGTGGTGATGTTTGAACAACAGATCGACTTAACTTGATGGCGATCTGCGGTCTCCTGGCGTCTACCCTCGTTGACGAGAATCACCAGAGTCCAGACAAGGCCGGAGGGGCTCTGCTGAGAGGGGTCCTCTTTTGCGTTTAGAGCCGCCTTGGCCCGAGGAATGCGGCGATTTTGACCTTGCAATGCCAAATCGAAATGATATCCTTTACTGTTAGGATTAATAGCCACTAAGGACCAATAATCCGACTCGTGTGCTTCCTGACCGACTTAGTCGGTTGGTTCCCAAAATGGCGCTGTACCGAATGGTACCACAAAAAGGTCCTGTGAGGGCAACGGGGTTTATTTTAATTAATTATCGTACTGGTCTGTGGTCATTCGATTAATGTTAGCTATCCGTATTTAATTAGCCAAGCCGTATTACCTGATTGAACTAGGTATTCCCGCGATTCACCACTCACTTTTATTACTTTAAGGACACTTGGTTTTAACGATCCGAAGCACACGAACGCCAGATACTGATTGAGGAATGGCGGTTTTCCTTCGCGCTTTTCCCATCCCATTGCTCTTCTCGTGAGACGTTATTTTCCACCCATTTTGAAATCATAGTTTCGCCCGAATGTTGTTGTACCCACTGATAGAATACTCATACCTACTGTACTGTTGTACGGTTTTATACAATTTTCAAATTTAAAAACAATTAATCCTACTAACAAATTAACAATTTTATGCAACGACTACTAACCCTACTAATCCAACACCAAATAACTTTAAGAGACGTGACGGTACATTTAACAACTATGCACAAATTAAAAATCTAATATGTTTTGTAACAAACGGTTACAATTGACAGACACGTCCCGAAAAGAACTCACCACAAAGTGTCTCACCCTCCCTGGCAGACGAGAGAGCTATGTAGGTTGAAGTCAATCAAGAGAGCAGCATTGAGAAGATTTATGAAGTATCGCACGCCTCCTCTGAAACTACATTATGTGAGGCTGAATCACATCTACCAGCGAGTCTGTCGTGAATGCTTTTCAACTTTCGAACGAGGCATCCAGCGCAAACTTAGGCTACACCCGAAATCCTTTTGGAACTACGTGAACGAGCAACGCAGGGAATCCGGCCTCCCATCGTCTATGGAATTCAACGGAGAAGTTGCTGCCACCGTTCAGGATATATGCCATATGCCATATAACATCATTGGAGCTTCATCCAGCCTGTTGATGTAAAACAACAATAAAACAATAAACCTGTTCTCAGCCAAATTTGCTAGCGTGTTTGAAGACGAGCAA